GTGGGGGGGGGGGGGGGGGACAGGAAGGTATTTATTTATTGGGGTTTGTTTATTTTTAAAAACAACCCTGCACCCATACAACCATAGCCAACCATTTCTCCTACTGTGCTCTCAGCTTTTGAAACCGAAGTGTGGTTTCCTCCCCCAGCACTTATCACTCCACTAGGGCAACGCACTCAAAAGTTGGCACGCTGCCAAAACAATTTATGGAAGGAATTAATAAAATCTCATTTCCAGATTTCCATGTAATCAGACCTGCTTTTTTAGTACGTTTTCTATAACTATCCGTCTACCCACATGCACACACATATATGCATGTGTTACATCTTACTTAAAATTATGTTTAAAGGGTTATTTTTATATCTGAGCCTTGCTTGAACACTTGACAGATAACACCTACTTAGAAAAAGTTACACAGATTAAAAATAGAAGTATGAATATACATACACAGTTCACATCTATGATCAATCTTTTGCTTAGAAATAAAATTTACAAATTAAAAAAACTGATGTGAAATAAAATTTAATTTACAAATAAACAGATATTCTACAGGTCCTGAAAGAAGTGTCATTAGCTGTTCTTTTGTGAAACCTGCCTCCCTGACATATTGATACATCACAAGTTTTAAAGGTTTTCAGACTATGAAAGATTTTTCTAGATACAGGGACTGAAAGATACGGAAGTAGCTGTGCTTTTGGCTAGGTTATTCTGACATCTGTCCTGGGACTTACAGGTGACAGTCCATGTAAACAGTAAAAACATACTTCCCCCCCCAGATAACTGACATTTTTCTTAGGATGGAATCACTAAGATATTCTCGTCTACCTGCTGCTTAAACATAATACCTTCCGAACCACCCTTCCAAAATTTAAATTCTGAAAGCGATAGACCTCTAAATATAGTAATCCCAAACAACTACAAATGCACCTGAAGTTAAAAAAAAATACTACTATTACCTTATGGAATATTACTTCACGGCTTTATTACAAAATACAAACATGGTCACATTTGGACATTCTTTACGGAAGTCATCAGAGAAAAGTAACTCTAACTTACAACTGGTAAATGAAATATTAATGTAACTGAACCTTAGAGAACATTTTTCTCTGGCAGTAACTTTTTAAAGATGCAGAGGTTAAAGGTCATAACTAGCTACTGTAGGTATTCAAAACCAGAGACAACCTTTCCCATGCCAGAAATTACTACATGTATGAACTAACTTGCATACATTCTGGTCATCACCTCAATGTAGTATGAGAGGAATAGAGGATGCTAGACATCAACAACTCATATGGCCAAAAAAAATTACATAATAAAATTTAAAGAGCACTGAAGGTTTAAAAAACAAGTAACAAAATGGAGCAAAGTCAAAGTTGCAAAGAAAACTTCAGTTGTCACGTTCAGTGACTTGAGTAATTACTCAAATTGAGGGTTTGACTTCTTCCTGTGGAGCTAGGTATCACCTATAAAATCAAGTCAACTAGAAGCAAAAAACCCAACAAAAACCAGTAAGCTGAAACAAATATTCATACACATCCTAACACACAAAGGGAGAGGAGGGCAGAAGCACGATTATCATTAATACACTGACAAAAGGTATCATTAGTTTGCCAATGCAGTAACTGTTACAGTAGTTTAGAAGCCTACACTCAGATTCAGAACTACCCCAGTAGTGAGCACCTGGAAAGATTCTCATCTTTTGTACAAAAGACGTATATAAATTAATATCAATATTACTAATCTGCACTGTTAGCTTTAACAGTCGTCTCTGAAGGGCTTTTCCATCTTGCTGCACTAAACCATCACGTGTACTTTCAAAAAAAAAAAAAATCCCAACTACACACACCTCTTTACCCTCCTCCTGTTTGCTTATGAAGGGAACGTATCTCTCACATCAAAGCATATTTAGGCCTAGAAAACTGTTATTCTATTACCTAATTTGTATTCTTTTAGGCATTAAAAAAAAAAAATCTTACTGTCTTTTATATTTTATTTAAATAAATAGAAGTGCCAATGAATTTTTTTATATACAGAAAGTGTGATTCTATGCATTTCCTGTTTTGTTGAGCAATTAAAAATTAGAACAGAACACACAATAACTTTATCAGTAAATTATGGCAGCTTTATAAAAGGAAATAATATACAAAAATTCTTTAAAAAGCGCAATTCACATCCACTGTCAATATATTTGGGTTTTGTTTTGAAGGAAACCAAAGACTTATCTCACTTGATGCTAAACACAAATACTCTAAAAATCTATTTATGAACACAGGCCTTTGTACTCTGTAAGCATCAGGAATCAAATCCTTTTCTCTACGTATTCTCCTTGCATCTCTTTTTAGCAATCTGATATATTTTAGTATATCCCATTTTCAGAAAAGGAAAAGAGGCAGGAAGACAGAGAGGAAACGTTTCCTTCCAGATATGAGCAAATTATCCAAGCAACATGCAGCGCAACAGTTTTTAATTCTGCACAACATGAATTTCTATAAAAGCAACATTCAGTCAGCAAATTTTTGGCTCTCTACAGATGCTGTCATCCACTGCAAGAGTCATTATTCACCAATTCTATTCAGTATTTTTGATCACTGGATGCAAATGCGGTAAAAGAAATCTAATCTACCTCCTCTCTGTCATTTTCCCAGAATCCTCATTAGGAAGTGTTATTTTAC